TGCAAGATAATATCCCTTAACATCTTTCCACACTTTCATTTAGCCAAAGCCAGAAAATGAAGCCATTTTACTTTGGTAGAAGGGAAGCAAATGCAGAGTTCACTCATCCTTTCTCTTTGCATCGTAGCAGAGGAGGAACTACGGACCCATAGCACTTCTTCCACATGATACCACTGCAAATGTTTTTACAGTATGAGATTACATGCTAATAGAAGTCATCTCAGTTTCAAGACATTACCTGATAAGGCTGGAGATCCTGAAGTTCAGTTTGTTTGCCATACACCCTTTCTCTTTGGATGAATCTAGATGTACGCAGAGCATGCAAAGCATGTGCCAACACATAGACAGCATTATAGATACTGTAGCTTTGGCCAGTCATGTTCATTTCAAAAAATGTCCTAGGAAGGCTCTCCAAATGTTCCTCCCCAGTACATACTCCATCAGCTTTGATGGGCGCACTGCAATCTGGATAAAAACAGTTGAATGCTTGTTCCCAGAAATCTTTGAGGAAACCGTCTTCTTGTTTCCAGCAAGGCTTCACCATCTGAAGGAATTTCTGGAACCCAAGTATCTCATCTGAACGTACTGTGAAAGAAATGGCACCCTGAAACAGCTGGTAGTCCCCTCCCAACTGAGTGCCTGCTAATATGAAATCAAGCTGGGCAGTCAAAATCCACACCTTTCCAAAGGTCCCATTTTCATTAGACTGAATGCCTCCGTGAAGCAGATATGTGATCAACAGTGTGATGGTCATAGGTTCTCCACAGAGGATAAATGTACTGGCTTTGCTGTCAGTAAAAGATTGGTGTATTTTTGAGATTAAATAATTCACTTTACCTGGATCAGTCCAACTGGGTCGAGTTAATATTCTTTCAGTGAAATCTAAACATAGTCCATTCTGGAAAAGCAATGGCTCTAAGGCTTGCACAAAATGTTCTCCACTGTCATCGTCTGTCGCAAAGAGGCCAACCCATGTCCATCCAAAATGGAGAAGCAACCAGACAATCCCCATATGCTGATGAGTCGTGTTTGGGACTGTGCGGTAAAAAGAAGGGGGGAGTCCTGCAACATGGTCCTCTGGGGCAAATGAGCCATATGTGAGCTAGAAGAAAATGTAATAATATTTTAGGAATGATTTAGGAGAAACGCCTGATTTGACATGCCTATTTAAGCCACATACTTACAGAATTAAAATAGTTTACAAATATTCTAGGATGAAATTCCCCCTGTAAATCTTGTGTGTGTGTGTGTGTGTGTGTGTGTGTGCAGAACTCATACATTTTTCCTCTTCAGACATTGTCATCTACATTTTAGTAAACAGTGTCCCCAAACTACACTCAATTCCATGTCCCCGTTTTATTTCTGTTCTGGGGGGACCCACCTAGGGCATAGTCAAACCCCACAAAAATATATTGATTTTGCTACTGAGGTAGCTTTTTGTTCCAGGCAAAATTATGTATGGGGTAATAGCTTTGAAGGTCAAAGAAGA